GCATCTTCGCATATAAGCCGGTTCTCAAAGTATGAACGTGGCCTAGGATTGTGTTATGGATGTTCAGAGATAAACTAATGGGTATTTCTATGATCAGTTGCATCCGATATTATACGAGCTAAAGCACGACTTATTTGAAAAGCACTTTCGAAAAGAAATCGTCAAGTCCCACATTTCACACATCCTGCCCTTAAAGAGCCGACATCCCCATGCGAAGAAATGTTGGAGGGCAAGACAGCCACAGTCGAGCACTCGACTGGGGGCCAAATTTATCTTGGTATTTTAGAGAGTACAACAGGTTGTTTGGAATTGGGAGGGGCATGAGATGGTACACAAAAGTGCGCATCACATAAACTTAGGCGTGTTCAGATGACAGAATCGATCAGCTATTGTTGCGTTTAAAGATCTGGAGTCATAAAATCTGATTTTCAGCGGTTACATCAGAGTTGAAACGTGCAAGGGTGAAAGAATAGAGATACGACAAGTGAATACAAGATGCAATAATGTAGGTAAATTATCTATTTACTATTTAAGGTGTAAGGAAAGCTTACTATAATCACAGGAGTTTCCTGTAGACGCTATTCCTATCTGAGTAAACTTTTTGGCTTTGTTGTACTGGAATAGTGGACCTCCACTGTCACCCTGAATAGAAAGAATGCTATAGTAAGCAGGTTTACTGTAAAAGTAAGCTAATTCGAGATCTCTTTGAAAATTGTCGCTCACAAAACAAATCCCCATTCCTAGAGGTGTCTTTATTACGAGGCGTTTCTCTCTCTTTCTCAACATAAGAAGTGCTTCGACTACTTGATATCCTTGCGGCTGCTGATCAGGATCTGAGTAGTCCGCTGAAACACTCGCTTGAGTCACAGTGCTTGACAGGTGTGGAAGGTTGTTCATAGTTCCAACACAAGATGAGGCACTGGCTGTAACATGAAGAGAGGCCGAAGTAGCATGAATAGCCCAATTCCTTATTTAGTTGACACTGCGTCCCTGTAGACCTGTCCCTAAATCGAGACTTGAAGAAGGACCTAACTGCACCGACGTTGTTCCCACACAGCGCAGTTTTGCGGTGATAGGGAACGGTGCCCATAATTCGCAAATTCAGCCCGATCCAAAACGAATACCTGACCAGCATTCCCAGGCTAGATTCTGACAGCTTTTTTCTCGGTCTCCGCGGATTTCCGAACCATATGGCGATTTTTGATTTTTAGCTCCGCCCATTCTGGTGCACGCTCCGCCCATCAACGGCATTTGATTTTTCCTTCTTCGCCAACCTCTACCACTTTTTTCCATGCGGCCTCGGAATCGAGTTGTGAGCTTTTTTGCGGAAATCCACCCATTTCGGTACATTTCCCCGGTCTCTAGACTGTTTTTGTGTCAAATTCGTAATTTTCGCCTCCAGCACTGCTCCTCTCGATGCCCACTATAGCTCCGCTTAACGTATGCGGTGCTGTACTGCTTCGAGCATGACCCACCCATCCTACGCTTGACCCGGTCTCTCCAGGTGGATCCCGAGGAGCTAGGGAATTTCGTGACAGACATACAGACAAGCAAACGGGACGACAAACAGACCGACAGACCAAAAGACGAAGCGCTTTGTAGTAAGTACCACACGCCACACGCATTGCACACACAGCACACTAGCGTTGCGACGTAAATCCTCAAATTTGGCCCGTCACACTGCGGATATTTGATTTCTAAACTAGATCCTAGCCGCTCCATCCACCGATGACTTCTGAATTCTTCTTGATCGTCGACCACTCTCCGCTTTTTCCTGGTCTACCCCGATTTATAAATCTCGAGGTGAACTCCCTTATTTCGGTGCATGTCTCACCCACTTTTTTCTTACTCGCCAATCTCTTCCACATTGTTCCTGGTCTTTGAACTGTCTCTGAGGCAGTTTATAAGCTTGAAGCAAGCCACTCCCACTTTATGCGAACTTAATGGTGGGCGGAGTATTAGGAAGTGAACTCCTAATGCTCCGCTCACCATAAGTGGTTCACTTCCTTCTCTTCGCCGGCCTCTCTCCATCTTTTCCCCGATTTCTGAAATTCCTTGGAAATGAGAATCGGACCTGCCACTCACTCCCCATTCGTTGCACGTTCCCCCGCCAACAATAGCAGGTGACTACAGATTGATCTCTATCCGCGCTTTCCCGGTCTCGATTTGAGGACACACTTGTGATCGATGCAACTCGCCGAACATGGAACGGCTCCACCACAATATCAATTTAATTAATTCCTTCGCTGCCTCGACCCATTTTTCCCCGGTCTCCAGGACCTTTCGGGACCGAGTTATCATGTTCGTGGATAACTCCGAGAGACGACAGACGACTGACGAAGCGCTTTATAGTAGGTACGATGATATTATGGGCCTCACCACCCTACTTTGCTCCGTCCAATCCACATATTTCGTTCCTTCTACAGTTCGCAGCCAACATCGTGATTCAATACGTGTTGAATTTTTGGCGAAGGATTGAGCACTATACTTCATAACTAGACAAACTGAGGCGTGTGCTTTGAAGACGGTCGCCTACCTTTGGCATGGCGGGAGGAAGCGTGCAACAGGGGGATATCTTTGGTGAATGGCAGACCGGGTTTCGCCCATAATCATGCAACAGATTAAGCGTGTCCACTGTCGTCTAAGGCAGATAGCAGGATAAATTATGTGAGGCAGAAAGCCGAACGTCCCTACCATGAAGAAATTTTGCCTCCAGTAAAGCACAGCACAGCTTATCTTTCAACGGATGGCGCGCACGCAGCGGCGGCTGCGGGATTCCCATGGTCGTTCAGGCTAATTTTAAGGTCAACGTCCGTTAGGACGAAGGCAAAGAGGGGGTGGGGGTTGTATGTAGGGAGGGTGGAAAAGAAGGGGGTATTTTGCTAGGTAGCGTCAATGTTACAGCAAGGGAAGGGATGATTTTTTAGCGGATTACGTTGTGGCTGAGACTTTGAGGGCGGAAATAGTGAAACGGCAATATTTTGGCACAACAATGGTCTACTCTGCTGCTGAATCCTTCGCGATGAGCTCTAGCCACTAGCAGACAGGCAGAGCAAAGGGTTCATATGGACGACATGTGACCACCAATGGTTCTAGGAAGGGAAATAAAGGTGGAACTTAGGATTCTATTGAAGGTTCAAGGTCGTTCTCCTTTTGTTGTGTTCTTCGCTGACATTCAGATTCATTCTACATGGGTGCTGCAGTGGCAGCTGAAGGAGGGGGATAGAAGGGAGGAGCAGGAAGGGGAGGGCAGGAAGGGGGAAGAGGTGTAGGGGAGAGAGGAGAAATAGGGACGGAAGAAGGAGAGGAGAGAGGGAGGGAGAATATGGTGCTGCCGAGGCCACCGGAGGAGCAGAGGGCGGTTAGAGGAGAGAGGAAGAGGTGGGAGGAGGTATGCAGGGGAGGAAAACAACGACTTCTATCTTATTTGTATTATCATGTATGCACACGTAGAAGGACCACAGCGGAAGACGTGAAGCTTACGCAGGGACGCAGGGAAACAACGTCCCGGCGGTTGACGGGGGACCAATCTGGTATGTTAAAACGTACGTCCCGACAATCCAGCTCCTGCTGCTTTTAGTAACCTAGAAATCTTCAAGCGTTCTCGTGGTAAACATATCGGTGTAGCCATGGATTCGGGAACGTCATCGTTGAATTCAAATATCGCTATATCGTTGTATCCAGTGCATCATCGAACTTCTAGTGGTAAATCACACTGGAATTACACCAAGTGTTCCAATATATGCTTGATAAGGATAGGTGCATTGAGTGTCCTTAACAAACCTTGTCTGGCTTGGTCCACCACTTCTTGCACATTTGAGGATCTGTGCAGCTAGTACCGACAAATATGCTCCAGCCTGTGTGCATTCTGCGAAGGAAACTGAAAAAGGAGCATGAGGTTAGGCTTCACTCAGGGGTCGACAGGCTGCACAATCGAACGGGTGGTTGATTCCACTGCAAAGTTACCGGCCAGTGATGATACACTCGTTGCTGGGAAGTATTATTTCGTAATTTGAAGTGATAGGAAGGGGGCGAATATGGACATTGTGTGAGACCTGCTATTTCTTCTGCCACATTCTTCTTCAGTTGCCGTTTTGGCACCTGTGGCAAACACACAATGAGCAGCTGTAAGAACGTGACGAGGAGATATGAGTGATCCACTACATTCAAAACCTGCAATAAATAAAGTTGAATCCCTGTATGCTTTTGAAGTCACTTCAGCTGTAACTGCACTGCAGTAATCAGGACTTCTTGTTCGTTTTTCTCTACGATTGTATACCTTAGTGTAGGCCTAGGCTCGATCTTCTCTTGCGTTCCCCCGTTCTACCAGAAGCAAAAAGATTTGCTAAAATGACCGTAAGGGTTGAGGGGGTGTCCCAGGAGGCACACGGAGTGGCGCTCACTGCCACTATGACGATTTATTAACCCTTTGACGACCGTGTGGCCCGCCGGTGGGCCACACTTTCGCTCGGTGGCGACACGTTTTTAGGGGTTTATTTTGGCATTTTTTATGTTTCAAAACTACACAAATACATCATCGAATTCGCGGAATAATGCGCTAATTACTAATAGTGAAATTGTTGGAGAGTTAATGATTATTGATGAAAAAATTTAGAAAGAAGTGAAGTGACGCATTCATAACGGCGGTCGTCAAAGGGTTAAAGAGGAAAGAGCAAGAAAAAAGGAAAAGAATCCGTCAAAAACGCTTAGGTTGAGGGCTCACTCACCTTCCTAATCGGCTGTGCTAAGGGAATGAGAGACTAAGCGCGGAGAGGAGAGTATGAGGCGAGAGAGCGCTACAGATGAGAGAGCGCCAGACAACAGCCTGATAAAGAAAAAATCTGCAGCTTCAGCAGCTTACTTTGCAAGGCCCAAGCGCTCTTGTCGGTTGGTTTCCGTGCACGGGAACGCCACATTTGTGATTGTCCTCTCTAGGGGTCTATACTACAGACCGAAGGAAGCGTTCAAACGACCTCTGCTTGGGTTGTGCCTTTAACGGATCTTCTCTTTCCTTCAACTCAACGGCTGAACTGTGCGAGCCACGTAGCAGTGGCCGCAGACCCGTAGTTTTCTGAGCGATCTCTGGACAGGGGATTTCTTTCAGACTGTAGCCTTGGGTGTCTGGAAAGCTATGGGGAAGCGCGCAATTTCTGCCTAACATCAACCTGATCATGGCCTTATCCCATAGAGCGGAACGTTACGATAGGCCCTTCTATTTTTTAGCCTCGGCAAAAATGCTGGAAAAGGGACGATTAAGCTATGGAGTCATATCGCATAATATGCATTTCTTGGCTCACGTGAACGATTCTGAAATGAGCGAGGGATCGCTGGTATAAAATGAAAAACCAGTGCGAAGTTGCCGGCGGCCCCATCAATGAATGAACTGAACAATAATGTAAATCTTACCTCCCAATCTCAAGGCAGCTAACCAGGGATATTGAAATTTTTTGATTTTTCTCCCTCCAAATGACTTGAAGGGCTGAACAATTTCTGAAACACTGCTGTTCTGAGATCAGATTCCATGCAAAACGTGATTACTTTAGAATGTGCCAAGTTCACCGATGCCACCTTTCAGGTCGTGCCGTGCTTCTTTGAACGGCTTTTTGAATTATCTAGGGGCACGTATATGGATCAAAGAGCTGGCCTTCATTTTTCCAGAGTGACTCTCCGAACGCCAAAAAGGGGATGAACGGTTCATCCATAGCTCCATTCCCAGTGATGACAAAATTTTGCAATTTCGATTGGCACTTCCACGGTGTGGCGAACCCGTAGTAGGTTTTTGCGAAAAAAAATGGTGCCAGAAAGGTGTGGCGCTCGAGCTATTTTAACCCCTTTTTTATCATCCAGGGCGCCATTCAGGAAAAATAAACAACAGTCCTGCATTTATGCGTGAGTCCCTACATCATGCTAAAGCAAGCTCTTCAAGCGCGGGGCACAAGCTGAATGACCTTCCTGGACAGCGATCGTTCTTGTCCTCGACCCTCCTTCACACTATCTCCTGGACTCGACTTTTTTATAAACATAATCCGTTTCATTTCACTCATTGTCGCTTAATATCGGCCAACCTCCTACAGGGGACCAGGCGCTGGTGTGGGAGGGGGAATGGGATACTTTACATGTCATATGTGATGAAAAGTGCACAGTAGTCGCTGCAACGAACTTTCGGAGGGACACTCCACAGACACGGAAAATGTGTAGTACAGTTCTGATCCTATAGTGCTGATATGCGCGATGAGGGGTCTAGGTCGTTACGGGCTCAAGCAAGTCCTGAACGTGGACTTCTCTCAACCTTAGCGTAAAGCCGGACAGGGCCCGCTCAGTTTCTTCTGCTCAAGGCATCTTATTTGTGGCCTTATTTTTAGAGGAGGCCTCTCATTAGTTTGGTTCACTGTGGTATTTTGCACTGATCTTCAAAGTACAGAGCTTTTCTTGTAAACCTGATGTATGCCCTTCTCAAAGACTACCCTAACCATCGCTTCTCTTATGCCCTCACTGCGACACTCGTCACCCCTTGCAATCCTTGGCTTCTTCTTTCCTGACCGTATCTCGTCGATACTGCTTTTTGTTGGTTTTAGAGATGCCCTTTCGCTAGAGACGCAGAGCGCAATCCATTAGACCCTATGGGTTCACCCCATTTTCACTGAAGTTGGTGCTGAACTTCAGCTCAATGCAGCTTTTCGATTTCCACGTAGCAGTGGTATTATTCCTAGGAATTGCACAACTCTCGTCGGAAACCGTTGGTTACCACCAAAAATAATCAAAATTAAACCTACTCTGGTACTCGACACCGCATGTTTTCACCTACTCCTACCGCCAACCTACAACTGCGGGTACTGTAGCTTTTCCGCGACTTTCCCATCTTACAATAGCAACGATAGCCATTTAACCGTTCAGTGGCCGAACAGGAACACACGCACTTTTATCACGTGATTATTTCCACCTCCTGCACAGGGCCTTGCACAGGTGGAACATAAGGGACTGCTGGATGAGCAAACTCTTCAGCTGAGATGTTCTCGAAATAATCGTGCCATCGCTTCACTGCTTTTTTGCGGTCCGTCAGGAGGTGACCATTTTCGTCGTTGATGCCGAAAAAACTTCTCGATATCCCTCGGACTGGCGATGACGGGCTTTGGCGAGGCGATAAATATAGCGTTCACCATCGCGCGTCTCGAGCTTCTCGCTGACATCAGCAAAGTGTGCAGCTTTTGCGGCAGCAACGGCCTTCTTTGTCGCACTCTTAGCTGCCTGATACCTTCGCCAGTTGTCGACAGTCTTATCGCCAAGAAATACGTGGTAAAGCCTCTTCTTCTCACGTACTTTTTCTTTCACATCGTCCGTCCATAGCCACGATTGCTTGTCGATCTTCCGTCGCCCAGGTTTTGTTTTAGGTTGTTTTTTTTCCATCGTCTCTATTGTACTTGATTTACTTAATTCTGATACTACTCAACCACCAAGAGCTCCGCCTAAATTTCAACCCCATATACGATCCTTATACCTATAATCTCACTGCTTTCCTTTCTAGCTAGGGGGGTATATACACCGGCTGAAACGGCAAATTTTTATCTTGCGCGCCCTCTACTCGCACAACCTACTACCCACGAAATCTTAGTTTCTCCTCAATCCCACCCGTGATTTCGAGCAACTAAAGTGGGTACGACCCCCCCTCCTACAAACTCAACCAGGTACGACCCCCCCCCCGTTGTTACTCGTAACAACGTAGGGTTGACCCTGACTACTACGACTTACTACAATGCAAGTAGGAGCAGCTGCTCTGTCAACGCCAAGCTGCGATCCAGGCAACAGGATCTACGACTTTAGCGTTCTGGCGCGCCTTATCGGCCCTTATTAGTCGTTATCAGTTTCTGGCACCCACAACAATGTCCTCGTCCCAGCACCAGGGTCAACCGTCCGTTCGAACAGTTCGAACGGGGGGGGTCGCATTTGGGTTCTGGGAGGGAAAAGGGGGTCGCATTGCGCGCTTTGGTCATCAGGCAGGGCAGAGGTGTGTGTGAAGTGTGAAAAAAGTAAGAAGTTGCCGTTTCAGTGGTTTGTATATACCCCCGCTCGACGGCTATTTTTGGGGAAAAAGTAGGCGGAGTTTCGGAGTTTTAGGTAAGGTTTTGGGCTGTGTCGACTGGTCTCAGAGTCAAATACTATAGAAGAGGGAGAGGTCGCGGTGGGGGGATGGCTGGTTGTATTGGGGGGTCGCAAATGTGTATTGGTGGGGGTCGCAACTGGACCCCCTCCAAAGGGGGGGTCGCAAAAATCCTGAAAATGTTCGAACGTGACGGTTGACCCTGCTAGGGCTCCCTCCCATACGATGTACATATTCATCTGCAAAGCATCACTGAAGCAGGAGACGGAGTACAAGAGGAACAACTTTTGTGCTTCCTGCAGAACAGCGCTTGTTGTTAGTGACAACACCCCAACTTCAAGTAGGGAAGGATCTCCAAGAGCTGCTATAACGTAATTCGAACTCACCGCCGTCTTCGACAAGTTGAATGAATGAATGAAACTCTCTGGAGAACGTTC